CATAGCTTGATACTATTAAATATTCAACAGAGGTAGCTAACAACTCCTCTTTTCTCATGCTATGTTAATCATGTAAACTTGTGACTATAATTTGATTTTCAACGTAAGGTTCCCTACAGAGAGTCAGTACGCTGTCTCTGTGACTGATTCCTCAATGTAAAATAATACAGTGGCACTCTGATTTTCTTCATCAGTCTTGTAAGCTTGGTTAAAGTAAGTCTGCTCTTGAGAGAAGGAATCGCTCTCGGGAGGCTGATGAACGTGCTTCTTAGCCTGAGAGCCAGAGGGACTATAATTCCCCACGGTGACTAATGCCACTCTGTGCAGCCTCCTGACGTCTAGTCATTTAGCCCCTCTGGTGATGACCAGACTTGGCCCCATGTCTTTCCTTTCTACAGCTACTCCTTAGCTATAGAGGATGACCTTTGAAAGCCTTGACCATCAAACCCCAAATAAGAGGAGTAGATATGTGTATATGTTAAGACCTTGGGGATAAAACAATAATAAGTCATCTACTATGTGGTAATTATGCATTTAAATACTTAGCTGCATTTACTTGTTTCCCAACCTGTAACAAGTATTTTCATTCTGGGAGTGATAGCTCGATAAGGAAGCTATATCCTATTTGCATTTTGTAAGATGATACAGTCTTTTCTGTTTACACTTATTTTTACGTTAACTATGAATTTTTTCAAACCTACAGAAAAGTATAGGAAACAAGATGACACCTGTGTGCACACCATCCAGATTGAATAGATGTTAACAATTTGCCACGATTGCTTCAGATCTTTCTTCCTTTTAAAAGTGATAGCATGCCAATGATACAGAGATAGCTTTCTGTTGAGCGTGCCTGATAGTGAACAAAAGCACACCGATGTGTGGCTGTGGCTGTTTTCTTTTGGGTTTCCTAAAAACGATAAGGCAGTAGAACAGTATTCCACAGCCACAGCAGATCGAATAAGGCAGCTTTGTCTCTGAGTTAAAACATATTAAGGAAAAAATGAAACCCATTATGGGCTGGCCAAATCAAGAATGACAACAAGCCTTGAGAAACAGAAGGTGCAGAGCAGAGATGGGCACAGGTATCCCAGGTCTAGTGACCAGTACTGTGGCTCAGAGCGTTGAGCCAGGCCCTCCTAGAAGGAGCATGGGTCCCTACTAGACCTGGCTGGTGGCGTCTTGATTTGGGAACTCTCAACAGGATGGCTGGTCATACACTGTACTGTGGGGCCATTCTCAGCCCTTGTCTATTTAGCTACAAATTGGGAATAATAAAAGTATTTATTTTATGGAGTTGTTGCAAGGATTGAAGTGGAATAACACCCAACGACTCTATGAGCTAGTCTATGTAGAGATGGGATTTGAAATTATATCTGACTTTAAGCCTTTTAAACCACTTCCTATATAGAATATCCTTTTAAGAAAGGCAGAATCCTGAGGTCTCTTGCTCAGTCTTGCCCAGCTTTAAAGGATATTACCCCAAATGGAAGTGGATTTAAAGAGACCCCCAAGAGATCACAGGGAGAATGCTTATAATACTTGAAGAAGTAATATTCCCACCTAAAGGCTGAAAAGAAAATGGGAATAAAGCAAAATTTATTATTAAAAAGATGAAAGGAGAAATGGTGAAGGCCCCTCAAATGTAGTGGAAAGAGTGTTTTGGGATAAGATAGACCATAGTTTGAATCCTTTTTCTCTCTCTTGCTTGCTAACTTGTGATCTTGATTTCTTTATTTCTCTGAGCATCAGTTATTTCATCTGCGAAATGGGGAATTTTCCTCACAGGATTGTCTACTAAAGGATGAAATGAGATAATTTATGTAAAATATCTGATAACAGTAAGACTAGCTAATATGTATTAGACGCTTACTATGTACTGAGCCCTGTGCTAAACCTTTTATATGGATTTTTCTCTTAAACCCTTGGCTGTGGGCAAGTACTCACAATGAATTTTAGATTCCCTGTAAAGCCCTGAATAAAGTAAGATATTGGTGATAATAATGTTAGGAAGATACTGAGAAATTGGCTAAAGTTGTAAAGTTTTTGCAAAAAGTATCGTGGCAAAAAAATGAGCAAATCTGAGATACTGAAGGTGTGGAAGTTGCTGACAAATTATGCAGATGATGCGATAGTAAAGAAGCAAATGCACCCAAAACAAGAAGACTGACAGCGTAAATGATTGCGGTAGTACAGACTGCCCCCGGCCCCGCCCCGCCATATAAGTCATATGGAAATGATAATAATTCAGTGAGATACTTATTGATTACCCTCTCTGTGCAAAGCATTTGATGAGTTCAGGAAATTTTGCTTATACTCTCAGCATGGATGTTGACAGATGCATGGTTAACAGGGATAACAGTAACAATGAAGTAGTGATGATAATAGTAATAGCTAACACACATATAGTGCTTGCCATATGAAAGGCATGGTTCTAAGCACTTGACTATATTAAACTTATTTAATCTCACAATGATTCTGCAAAGAGAGCGCTTTTATTATCTCACTTTTACAGACGAAAACACTGAGGCACAGAGATCTCACTTAAGTGCTTGCTCAAGGTCACACAGCTGGCCAATGGCTCCCATTCTTACAGTGGTGAGTCCAGCTTTGTACCAGGTGCTTTGTGCATATTGCTAATGTTCCACAAAACCCAGTGAGATGTACTGGGGCTTCATTTAGTCACTTGTCTAAGATCACACAGCTAATAGGTGGCAGAGTTAAATTGTACTTCAGATTGGCCAGATTCCAAAGCCTGTTTTTTCCATGATTCCAGGCTCCTCTTTTGACCAATACTGAAAAACAAACAACAAACAAACAAACAAAATCCCCAAATCTCTTCTCCTTCCCTCATATACTTACTGGTAAAGTTTTTATACTCTGCAGGCAAAGGCAGATAAAGGAGATACGAAATTTTACAAATATGAGGCTAAGAATGACCTTAAATCTTACCCTTAGCAGTTGTAAATGAGAACTTGGGAGAAAAATTTACACAAAGCTCAGATAAATGATGTGATCTCCACAAGCATTAAGCCTGGCCAAGCAAACTTTTCTCTTTGAAGGCTAAAGGGAGATATTTCAATACCTAGAGAACCTTAATTTATCAACAAAGCCTAAAGCTTCAAAGCACATTATAGGTCATAGCACAGGCTTCAAAAGTGATCAAAAGTGCTTTTAAGAGATAAAGGGCTTAGAATATAAACAAAAGACAAAGTTAATGATTCTAAGTGAAGTTAATTGGTAAATTAGACATGATATTGTAAAAACTGGAAGGTGGGAAACAAAATTACAAGAGGGATTTCTGAGTGCCCAGATGTGTAAAACAAAGTGGGACTGGAGAGTGGAGGGAGAGCGAGCCAAGTGGGAGAATTATTATTCTCATTAGAAAGGCGTTCGAAGTTTTCGTGGTTAATAATAGGAATGAATAATGGAAGTAATGAAAACAGTTGTTGTATTAAAATATATTGATGTTAAAAATGTTAGGAAAATGGTGAGAGCGAGCCAAACAGCCAGACTCATAATCCCTGCTAAAAGGAGTTCAAAGTGATGGTAGAAGCAGTGAAAACAGCTACAGTTGCATTAAAATTTGTTGATGTCAAAAACTGTCAGAAAAAGTGTTAGATTAATTATGGCTAATTCTGACTTGATTTGAAAATAAGGAAATGATGTTGGAAAACACTGGTTTTCCCTCTGGTTCAGATTCTCTCTCTTTCTCACATAGGCAAAGGTGTGCACTGTCCTCGTTCAATTTTCTTGATCTTAACAGAATTTGAGAAGGGAGATGAATTTATTTGTGTGACAAGAAAGTTATCCTGCCTCAAACTCAGAAACTTTAATAAAGCTGGACACTTTATATTTGAATGTTTTTCATGCACAAAGGTAGATGGGAAATTTCTAGAGGATTTTTTCCAAGAGTTGAATTATTGATCCCATTCTGGAAGTGCACATGCTTATATAAGTCAGAGAAAATTTAACCAAATAGTTTTGCATGCTTGTAAAGAAAGCCTTCCAACTAAAAATTATGATTCTAACACCTTAATTTATTCCTAGAATTTTAAAATGCCTTGTTGCTATCATGGTTGTTACATGGAATCTGTGGTTGCTCTCGTGGTTTTTGTGCTTGGTTGAACAATGACCATTTGGGTTTTTCAAAGAGTGTTCATTCAGTGTGACAAAATGGCCGACTCTCAGCCGTCAGTGCTACAAGGACATCACCAAGACTCCCTTCAACATGAAGCCCTTCCATTTGTCTCCTATCCGTTTAAATGGGGCTTTGTATGTTTCCGCAATCATTTCTCATTTCTCTTAACTTAGAATAAGTGGTTAAGTGTGGAGTAGAAAAATATGGTCCACCATCATTCTGAGTGTGTGAGCCTGGATGGTCACTGGATCTCTTTAGGCTCACATTATAGTAATGTGTCCATGTGTCTCTGAGACCAGACTGGTGTAACAGTAAAACTGCATGTTCCTGTGTATGTGGGTGAATCGATGATTCGTTGTCTCTTTTTTTACAGAAATAAAAATGATTTCCAACATTTAGTATATTCACAATATGCCTGCTCTATGCCTAGCAATCTGTGTGTGTTTGTTGACTTATTTACTTTCCAAAGAGGATTTGAGGCAATGAACAAAAAGAATATAAAGCTCAAAGGGATGAAAATACATGAGGAAGCTGGAATGGGCAGAGGGGACCCCTAAATGTGTGCTAGAAGGCCCTATCTGCTGAGACTGGCAAGGTGTTGAGTGCTCCTGGGGTTATTAGGAAGAGGGTGTTGGGGCAGGCCCCGTGACTGAGTGGTTAAGTTTGTGCGCTCTGCTGCAGCTGCCCAGGGTTTCGCCGGTTCGGATCCTGGGTGTGGACATGGCACCGCTCATCAGGCCATGTTGAGGTGGTGTCCCACATGCCACAACTAGAAGGACCCACAACTAAAATATACAGCTATGTACTGGGGGGATTTAGGGAGAAAAAGCAGAAAAAAGAAAAGGAAGATTGGCAAAAGTTTTTAGCTCAGGTGCCAATCTTTAAAAAAAAGAAAAGAGTTTGAATATGAGGTAATAGACTCTCAGGAGCTGAGGAGTCACAAAGTGAAAAGGATTTTATTTGCCCTCCATATGAAATGGATTGGATATCCACAGGGAAATACCCAGATTCATACAGACTGTAACTTGGGTGGAGTTAAAGCCGTAGTTTAGGGATATCCCTTGGAAGGAGATATTTAAAGCCGGGAGAAAAGTAGAACTTGTTAAGGAGGGGTAGCTGGACTATGGGGTGTCGGGGTGGAAACTCAGGGTTAGTTAGAGAGGAGGAGGGAGGGATCCCAGGAAGGAGCAGAGAGCAGCAAGGATCGAGGAGAACAAAGAGTAGACAGGGAAAGGAGCCTCTCAGGAAACAGGGTGGGTAACCACATCTGATGCCTGGTGCTCACGAGGTTAAGAACGGAGGAAAAACATGTTTAAATCAGAAGGAAGCACTTGGAGGACCTGAAGAAAGCAGTTTTATTTTTTGTTTTCAAAGTTGGGATTTGCAAGTCAGAGGGCAGGAAGAGAAACATACAAAAAGGAAGGTCGTGGGTACAGCCCACTCAATTAAGAGTCTGCAATAAAAGGGAGAGAAATAGTATAAGAGCTTTCAGACTCACTGAAATGAAGTAAAGCATTTTTGGATTCTCACATATTTTGGCTATCCAGGTATATAAAGCGATGGAAAGGTACAACTCTAAATATTTTCTCTGGGAGATACTTGGGATATCAACATGTTGGGACATATCCCATTGCTGCTTTAATTCCCAACCTGATGGAAAATTTGGGTTTCTCTTTCTTTTCTTCGTGAGCAGCATGGTTGCACTGCCAACATGCTGTAGAGGCTCATCAACAGGCCCAATAACCGGAGCAATTTATGCACCAACTGAAGAGGACAGATGATGACAAGCAGGGTGACACATTGGAATTAGTTGTGAAAAGTGCCAGTAACTTGTATTTGTTATGGGTTTCTGGTTGTTGATTGTTGCGTTTTTGTATTGGGGCGTTACCATAGTAACAGAGGCTTTTTAGCAAACATAGAAAATGCCTTCTGTTTTGCGTGCTGTTACTATCTGTGTAAATTATTCCACGTTCTATATGACAGAGGTTTTCATTTTTCCTTTATAAATAATTTACTCTCAGGAGAAAAGATAATTTTTGGACATCTCTCAGATACATTTTCATTCTGGCTTCAAGAGTTTAAAAGTATAAATATTTTATCTTTTTGACATCTGATTTATTTAAATAGTGTTATTCTTTAGCTAAGCATTTGTCCAATTCCTTGTTTCCTTAGTTTGGTTGATCTATTTTAATCTTTTATTTTAGCCTCTCAATTTCTCTTCTTAAATGCTCAAAAATGGCACATTAAGGTAGTTAGAGAATCCAGTTAAACTCTAAACCTCTGAAGTGTTTGTTATTTACCTGTTCCAAGCTAGAGATAATTTCAGCATCCTCATAAACTAGTTCCATTCCATTGGCTTTGTGAAGTAAATTTCAAGTAAAGCCACACAGATTTGGTTTATTTACTTATTTTACTTTCTTCCTTGCAATGATATGAAATTAAAAAGTTGACAGGCAATATGCAATTGGAATTAGCAGACTTAAGATAAGCCAATTTTGATGTTAGAATTTTGGAGCTCTGTTATAGCCTAACTATAGTGGAATAGATTTAAACTAAGACTGAGAAATGAAAACATAAAAACATGGAGCAGGAAGAAAAGTAACTTCCTGTGTGGAGACAGCTCTCCAATGCAGTTTCGTTTGTTGGCAAATGGTTTATGAAAGTAATCCATAAATCACCCACGTGGATAAAATTGGGCAAGTTCAGTAACAGTTGAGAAGTTAACGGAAAAACCACCAACCCCAGCGGTCTGAAAGTGGTTTTTAATCTTGTTTTGTAATTTTCTTTCCTGGACCAAAGAGTTTGGTTCTGTGAATCATATTAAAAGACGGTAACTATCATATTTTACATTTTGTAGTTGAAAGATTAATCAAATCATTCGTGTTAAAAATGTAGTCTCGAATTCATGCCCACTATTATAAAACCAGTGCTCAGATTGCTGTTGTATTTTATATCTGACTTTCTGTGCATTTTCTTACAAAAGTAAGCTATTTAGGCGTTAAAGTTAAACTTGAAGATAGTTTAAAAATGGGCTTAGGCCATTGGTTAGGGGCTATATATATGTAGAAATGTATGTGTGTTGCATGTTGCATGAATGTGTGCATGTAGGTAAGGTTGTAGTTCTAAGAATGTGTGTACATCTTTGTAAGAATGTTCTGGCTTGAATAATGAGAGACTGTTCTTGGAGGAATTAAGCAGAAGACAGCAATCAGATTCTTGCATCTAGATTGGTGATCTAAATCTCTAGCTGCCGACGCCCTGTCTGGACATCTCTAGGAGCCCTAATGGTCTGGGATTTCACGTGCGCTCCTTGATTGCCAAGTTTGCTGTGAGTCAAAGTCCTGTCGTTACAGCTATGGCTGTCCAGGTGCAATCTAGACATGTTGCAGATGGTTACATCATTGTGCACCAACAGTCCAAAAGCACAGGGAAGAAGAGTTATTTCATACAAAAGGAAAAACCTGACTGACTTCTCTGGTGCAGTAAGGAAGTTAGCTTAAGTTCATTGCACAATCTCCGTGTAGAATTATCTTTTAAAGCTTTCCCATCCACTTTTCTCTGCAGAATTCTCATTGGCGACATATCCAGTCTGTGTTTATATCCCTCTAGAGGAGGGAAACTCACCAGTTCTGAAAACAGCCTTTTCTATCTTTGGATAGTTTTGATTATTAGAGAGTTTTTCCATCAGTTGAGCCAAATGGATCTTCTCTTGCTTTATTATCCATTGGTTTAGCTTTTCTCCTGAGCCCAAAGCAGAGCAAATGTGTCTCCTGTTTCTGTGACAACCCTTCTGATATTTGTATTTAAAATATCAAACTTGGGTTCACTCGGTAGACTAAAATCCAGAACAATCATCTCCAGTCACCTTTCTTCAGCTTTCCTATCACTTCTTAAATGGGTTGCTCCAAAGTCAAACAGAATATTCTAGAAGTTATTTGACCAGCTTGAAGTAGAAGAATTATTAATGCGGCCTGAGCTTGCACTAGCTTCTTCGTGATTGCTGACTCCTATTAATCTCATATTAATATCATTTTCATTGTTAATGACAAGAACTGAGTCACATTGACTCTGTATCTTGCTTATTATAGAACTTGGCACACGACAGGCACTTACTCTGTCATTAAACTATCCTTTTCATTATTGTGTCACATGTGGGCTTACTGAGCATGTCTTCTGCATCTTCATTGATATCTAATCCAATGGGCCAATTGAATCAGAAGCTCTAGAAGTGGAGTCCAGGCACTGGTATTTTTTTAAAGTTTTTCAGGTGATTCTAATGAGAAACCAGGATTAAGAATCATGATGTAAGTTATTAATTAAAATATTGAGCACAACACAGTTGACGACACAGCCATGTGCCTTATCACTAGATAGCTCCATAGAGGTTGCCATTGGGCCATTAATCATTACATCTTGTTGACTTCACTAGTTTCCAATTTCTATAATGAACTGTCTTTGCTACGAACCCAACTTTTGTTTAAATATGTTATATTATAGCTCTCTATTTTAATAAGTAGAAAGCCTTTCAAACAATCTATTGCAGAGCTGGTTTAGATGACTTCTATATGGAAGCAGAAGGATGGAATGAATAAGTGAACTTGGAAGATTCCTTCTCAAGTCATGGTTCTATGATTCTTGGAAACCACTTAGTCCCATGTTGCGATATTTTAAACACTTTTGTAGGCCAAATGCCACAAAAACGCCATTGTTCTCAGCAAGACATTTTTGAGGTTAGAAGCACAAATGGGCGGAACTTCTTCATAATGTTTTGCAGAGAAAGCATTGTTCAGACTTTTCTAGGTGAGAAAATAAGCTAAAGGAATGTTTGATTTTTTTCTTTATCTCTTGCTCTCTGATATGGGAAAGATAATAAACTGCATGAAGATGTGCTAAGAAAATGTGAAAAATCTACATTTATGCTAGTGCCTATCTTATTTTGGTAAAAGTAGTTGTCTAGGTTATGTACTGGAAATTACTGGTTTGTGTTGTGGATTATTAACAATTATATTAGCTCATGTTTTGTTTTGATAAATGGAATTGCTTTTCCCCCATGTTTTAGTATTTTGTATTTTTTTCCAATTGGGTTTATCAGCCTTGTATCGAGTAATTAGTAAGTGTTTATCACTTAGTTAAATATTTTAGAGACTTAAAGTATAAAGTAAGGTCATAGCTCTTCAGGAGTTTGCTGTCCCCTGGGGATTTTGAGATTCTTTTATATGCATAAATGAAATAACAGTATTAGACATTGTAAAATTAAGTATGGTAGGCAAATGTGTGAGATTAGACTTATAATTAGCATTTTTCACTGCATCTGGGTAAGGAAGACAATTTTCTAAAAAGAGGTGAATCCTTTTCTTAAAGTTGTTCATATTGGTAATACATGCCTTTTAAATGTCTCTCCTTTTTCTGTTCTGCCTCTTCCTCTTCCTTCTTCTTTACAATTAGTCCTGTCAAAATAGTTGTGTATGTCATGAGTAAGAGGGCACATGTTGAAAGTATTTTATGTTGCACTTTTGCAACAGAAACTTGGCATATTTCGATGGCATTTTTGGGAAACTGTGGGGCTTCTTCATAAATACAAAATCCAGTTTGAATTCAAGGTGTGGCTGGTGTAGATGCTATCAGCACTGTGCTGTGATAAGACCCTTCCTCAGTTACATGCTGATGGTAAGTGAAGTGCTTTCAGTTGAAGCTGTGTATGGATGGACTATGCCACACCTTCTGCCTTCCAGCTTTCCTCCCCATATCTTCCTTACCAAGGCTACTGAGTTGCCTGATGCTTTCCTGTTTCCAAGATCTTTCCCATCAGGAAGGAAATCCTCCTCACATTGAAGTGTTAGGAATTAATGTGTTATCCTCCCTTGGGTATTTGAGTTATAACGGAGGACAGAAGCCAGAGAACAGTGTTTGACACAAAGAGCTGGCCTGGAATTGATGCATCTGTAGTTGCCTTCGTTCCCTACCCATGTCTAGCCCATTGCCAGCTCTATAATTTTTGGGGAGAGGGCTTCTCTGAATCATTGCTATAGTTGACTTCTTATTTGTTCATTTATTCTTGCATTTATTTAACAACCACAACTGTTTAATTAAAAATGAAAAAGTATTATTACAAGATAAATTATGAAGAACAGCGATTACTGAGGAATTGCCGTGCACCTGATGCAGGGGTGAGGTACATAGAGGTGGACAGGACTCATTGGTACCTGCCTTCAAGGAGCTAAGCCACAGTCCAGGAGGGGCTTTTCTTCAAGTCTGGAGTCAGAAAACTTCCTAGAAGCCCAGGGGGTGCCATAGACCGTGATTCTGGCTTGGCCTATGCACATGTTTTCAGATTTCCTGGGTGTCACTTTCCTTACTGAGAGTCTAGGCAAATCATTTCACCGGGAAGGACTATTGTGGGAAGAGAGCATCTAAAATGGGTTTGAAATGCTTTGTCGTTATAATATAAACAATAACCATTTTGGGAAAACCAGTTTCTCAAAAAGGTGTCAGACCACATGCTACAATCAGACCCCCTAGGTTTTGCCTCCTCCACCCGCTTCAAATCTCTTGTCCCATTTCTAGTGC